AGTAGTGTAGTAACAATGTTGTACATCTTGGCAATTTTAGTGGGATTAAAGCACTTACCAGGAAATTTTTGTGTTATCTTATCCCAAGTAGTGATTGATCTTAGCTTAATTTTTTTGCCTCAACTAATTTGTCTTCTATCTATATTATGTTAAGGTGCGGCTTAATGGTTAAATTTCGAGTTTGAGCCTGATTGTGATATTTATAGGTATTAGATTATGATCTTGTCTTTTCATACATTTTATGAGTATAATAACTTAAGCATAGTACTTCATTTAGGTTGATTTTGTAATGCTTTTGTTTTTTATATATTAGTAAAATTTTATTTCTCATAAAAAAATTAATTTACTTCAATATTAGTTAGATTTAATAATCCCTTAAAATGGCGCTAAAAACTTACTGAACTAAAATTATTAGCAATACTGGGTTGATTAACTAATATAGCTAGGGAGTTGAGTTTAGTCTCACAAAAACTGTTAACTGATTTAGTACCGAAATTAATCAATCCTAACTATATTTGAACAAACTAACAAAAAGGACTTAATTTAACTAACCTGATTAATTGAAATAAAAATTAATTGAAATAAAAATTAATTTAAATAAAACCAAGATTTGATATATAGTCAACTATTAAAAACTATTAATTAAGAATAATAATATATATTTTACATGAATTGATAAGTTTTCAAAACATAAAAAATATAGAATTCTATATGAAACTGATTACTCCATGGTTTAAAAAAAACAAAAAACAAAAAACAAATATTACATTATGAACTTATTATAGTATTTGACAATATAAAGAAAAATTCTAAGTATAACCAATTTTTATCTTCTTTTGTTACTATTTTATTTATATCACATCTCTCTTAATCTTCAAAAAAATCTCCAAAATTTAGTCTTACGAACATTTATATGAATTAAGAAAAATCTTTATAGAAAAAGAAGTGGGCTTTTCACAACGGAAAATTTCCATACGCCAAAAAAAAAACTGAAAATCAGAAGGTATTGACACCACTTGTGGGCCATGGTTATTGTCACAAGCCATTTTTTTTTTTAAGAATACAGAAATAATATTATGTATTTTTTATATATTTAGTAATGAGGGATTATATATGTTCAAAAAATAAATAAATAATGATGGATTAAATAAGCAAAGATAACCATTCTCTTTCTTTCAATTTTTCTTCGTCCAATTTAAGATTCGAATTTAAAATCTCTAATTTAAAATCTCAAATTTTTAATTATTAAATCACCCTTTAAGAATAGTAACCATTATGTATAGATTAGATGATTTTATCATTTTTCTAATCAATTAGTTATAATTTTTAAAAACATCGATGAATATAAATTAATTTTAATTTTCTAAATAATAATAATAAATAGTAATTGTTAATAATTACAACTATTAATTATTTTTAATTATCTAATTTAAAAAATTAATAATTTTTAAAAAATTTTAAATTAGATAATAAATTATAACTTTCTCTCAATTTTTATCTCACTTCTACTATGCAACTCGAACTTGTTACCATAGAACTAATATTTTTCAAAACAATATTATATGCATAAACAAAAAGATGCATGAAAATAACCATGCCCCAAACTGAGGTGTCAATACCTGAACTGAATATGACCAAGCGAAAATCTAGTTAAAATCAATATTTAACCCCTCACCTTACAAAATTAGTAAATTTTAACTCTTAATCTTATAATATTATATTTTTAGCCTTTTACCTTACAAAGTTGGTAGGTTCTAGCTTCTCACCTTATATTATGACATTTTTAACCCCTTATCTGTATGAATTGAAGAAAATAGTCGTTATTTAATATCAGGTTTTGATGTTTTATTAGTTATACTAGTTGACTGTCAATTCTGTTAGCTGATTGTCAGTTTTGTTAGTTAACTGTCAGTTTTATTAGCGGACTATTAGTTCTGTTAGTTGATTGTTAGTTGATTGTTAGCATCCATTAGCATTCCGTTAATGAAACTAACAAATAAAATTGAATTTAAATTTTATATTTTTTATAATGGAATACTAACAGATATTCACAGTCAACTAACAGAACTAATAGAACATTATAATATGATATTAGGTGAGGATTATTTTCTTTAATTCGTATCGGTGATGGGTTAAAAATATCATAATATGAGGTAAATGGTTAAAATCTACTAATTTTGTAAGGTGAGAGATTAAAACTTATCAACTTTGTAAGATAAAAAACTAAAACTATTATATTATAAAGTGAGAGGCTAAAACCTACAAATTTTATAAGGTGAGGGGCTAAATGTTGGTTTTTGTACGGCTTAATTCAATTTTTAGTCTATTAACTATCACCTTGATTTCATTTTAATCTAGAAACTATGTTTTATTTCTAAGTGGTCTATTAACTTTCAGATTCATTTCAATTTCATCTACCTGGTTATCTTTGACAGAAAAGTTACTATTTTGTTAGAGAACAGTTAGTCCTCTAACTATATTTATTTTGATTTTTTAGTCCTCAAATTTATATTTACTGTAAAAACAACTTTTATACTTAAAATTATTATTTTTAGGCTCTAATACCGAATTTTTATTCAGGTTTTTCTCCTTTTTTTAATTCTTCTTAGGGTATTTTCATTAATTATTTCTATTTTTAAAATATTATCAGTTATTCATTAGTTAGTAGTAATCTGAATTAAGTTCTGAAAACCCGAATAAAAATCTGATATCAGAGCATAAAAATAATAATTTTAAGTATAAAAACTGTTTTTACAGCAAATATAAATTTAAGAACTAAAAGATCAAAACAAATATACTTAGAGGACTAACTGTTCTCTAACAGAATAGTAACTTTTCCATCAAAAATAACCAGGTAGACGAAATTGAAATAAATCCGAAAGTTAATAGACCACTTAGAAATAAAACATAATTTCTAAACTAAAATGAAATCAAGGTGATAGTTAATAGACTAAAAATTGAATTAACCCGTTTTTGTACTATGGGGACTTTTAAGATGGCTGGGATGGTGAGGTGGCGACACCTCATATTGGTGTCGACACTATGTTTGTGCCTGAAAATTTATGCCATTTTGCAATTTCTTTTAAGATGAAATAATAGTATGAGTCCCTCCAACTTAAGTTTTTGTGAGATTTGATCCTTTAACTTCAGATTTAATTAATTTTGTTCTTGATTTTAACTTATTTCTTGCAGTTTTGTCCTTTGGCTTTTGAAGGGTTTGCACTCAAGACCCATAATTTCTGATTTCTTGCATTCCAATCCTTTTTTGCACAAATAAAAAATTGGTTAAATCCTCATTTTGGTCCCTGAACTATTGTACGGACCCCCGATTTGGTCCCTAAACTAAAGAAATCCCTGATTTAGTCCTTAAACTATTGTACAGACCCTCGATTTGGTCCCCACTATTTATAATTTGGCTTAAGTTGGTCCTTGAAATATTGTACGGACCCCCAATTTGGTCTTTACTGTTTACAATTTCGCCCCAATTTGGTCCCTGAGCTATTATTTAATAGAAGGACCAAGTTGGGGTTAAATTGGTAAACAGTAGGGACCAAGTTGGGGTTAAATTGGTAAACAGTAGGGACCAA